GGGTTTTTGGGTGCTGGACACTGCAGTGTAGTACTCGCCTGAGAAGATGCCGTGGCTGTCAACCTTGTCCACAAGCATCTTTGAGCCCAGGTCATTCTCCCACCAGCCAATCAGGTCACATACCTGGGGATGAGCAGATTTGTCCCTGGGGGCTGCTCGCACACAGCCCCTTCCCCTGCCCACATCCCCATGGGGTGCTGGACTCACCTTGCTCTTCCTTGTGGAGTGTTCCTGCCTTTGGCCCAGCCGCCGTTTGGTGCTGGTTGCCTTTGCCTCCTTCATGCTGGCTTTTTCCCCACCTGGGGTTTCATCTGCCTGGGAGAAGATCTTTGAAGAGAGATAAAACACAGGGGCAGGCAGGTGAGCTTTGCGACCCCAGGACACATCTGCCTGTGCATGTGGGGATGAGTGCTCTGCATGGCACTGGTGCTTGCTGTGAACCCTCAGGTTCATGCAGCCCCTGCAGCATCCCACTTGCAATGCTCCAGCTCCAGCTCCAAACCCAGCCTGTCCTCCCCACACCACACTTCCCCAGGCAGGGGCAAGAAGCCACCCCACCGGTGGACCCTGCCCGGTGTCCCTTCATGTCCTGCCCATCCCTCCCAGGGACAAGGACAGCCCCGGAGCATCCCCCGGCTCCCCTCGGCAGGACCTCCCGCTGGAGCGGGGGGTTCTTCCGCCGCCGGAGGGTCCCTCCTGATCCCGGGCAGCCTCCCCGGGCCAGTGTCCTATCCTGACTCGCAGCTCCACCTGCATCCCCGCGGCCAGCGCTGTCCCGGTGGGCACGGCGAGGGTGCAGAGCAGGCGGCGGCTCATCGTCGGCAGCCGCGAAACCGAATCCAACCGTGCCGGGGCCGCCCACCCCTTTTTATAACATGGCTAAGGCGCTGGCTTCCCGGAAAGCATCGGCAGGAGGAATGTGGACACGGCTGCGGACGGGGATGGAGGGGGCGGTGGGGATGGGGATAGGGATAGGGGTGGGGATGGGGACGGGTAGGGATGGGGATGGGGATAGGGGTGGGGATGGGGATAGGGATAGGGATAGTGATAGGGGTGGGGATGGGGACAGGGGAGGGATGGGGATGGGGATAGGGGTGAGGATGGGAATAGGGGTGGGGATGGGGAGAGGGGTAGGGATGGGGATAGGGATAGAGATGGGGATAGGGATAGAGGCGGGGATGGGGATAGGAATAGGGGTGGGGATGGGGATAGGGGTGGGGATGGGGACAGGGGAGGGATGGGGATAGGGATAGGGGTGGGGATAGGGATAGGGGTGGGGATGGGGATAGGGATAGAGGTGGGGATGGGGATAGGAATAGGGGTGGGGATGGGGATAGGGGTGGGGATGGGGACAGGGGAGGGATGGGGATAGGGATAGGGGTGGGGATAGGGATAGGGGTGGGGATGGGGACAGGGGTAGGGATGGGGATAGGGATAAGGGTGGGGATGGGCATAGTGATAGGGGTAGGGATGGGGACAGGGGAGGGATGGGAATAGGGATGGGGTGGGGGTGGGGATGGGGACAGGGGTAGGGATGGGGATAGGGGTGGGGATGGGGATAGGGGTGGGGATGGGAATAGGGATAGGGGTGGGGATAGGGATAGGGTTGGGGATGGGGATAGGGTTGGGGATGGTGATAGGGATAGGTGTGGGGATAGGGATAGGGGTGGGGATGGGGACAGGGGTAGGGATGGGGACAGGGGTGGGGATGGGGATAGGGATGGGGTGGGGATGGGGATAGGGATAGGGGTGGGGATGTGGACAGGGGTGGGGATGGGGACAGGGATAGGGATAGGGGTGGAGATGGGGACCGGGATTGGGATGGGGATAGGGATGGAGCTGAGGATGTAGTTGGGGATAGGGATTGAGTTGAGGATGTAGTTGAGGATGGGGATAGAGATGAGGATGGAGAAGGGGGTACAGGTTGGTATGGGGATAGGGATGCGGTTGGAGATGGGGATGGTATCATGGATGTGGATAAGGAATGGGGTGGGGATGGCCACAGGAATGGATATGTAGATGGAGTTGGGGATGGAGTTGGGGATGGGGATGAAGACGGGGATGAAGACAGGGATGGAGACAGGGATGGAGGCAGAGATGGGGATGGATATCAGAAGGGGGATGGGGATGAAGGTGCAATGAGGACATGTAGGCTGCTCCTACCTGTCTATAGATGAGTTGTCTACAGACAGGTAGGAGCAGCCTCATGTTCACAAGCCCTCATCCCCATGGGGAACTTCAACCACCCCAATAGCTGTTGAATGGACAGCACAGCGCAACATATGCAGTCCAGGAGGTTCCTGGGATGTGTTGATGTTAACTTCCTTCTCCGAGTGATAGAGGATGCAATAAGGAGAGGTGTTATGCTGAGCCTTTTCCAAACCAATAGAGAGGGGCTGTTGGTAAGTGTGAAGCCCAAGGGCAGCCTTGGCTGCAGCGACCATGAACTGGTGGAGTTCAAGATCCTTAGATCAGTGAGGAGGCTGCACAGCAAGCTTGATGCCCTGGAACTCATGAGAGCAGACTTCATCCTGGGCTGCATCAAAGGAGTGTGTCCACCAGGTCGAGGGAGGTGATTCTGCCCCTCTGGCGAGATCCCACCTGGAGTCCTGCATTCAGCTCTGGGGCCCTCAACACAAGAGGGATGTGGAGCTGCTGGAATGAGTCCAGAGGAGGCCACAGAGATGCTGCAAGGGCTGGAGCAGCTCTGCTGTGAGAGAGCTGGGCTGGTTCAGTCTGGAGAAGAGAAGGCTCCTTAAGGGAGACCTTAGAGCAGCTCCAGTGCTTAAAGGGGCTACAGGAAACCTGGAGAGGGGCTTGGGACAAGAGCCTGTAGGGACAGGACAAGGGGAATGGTTTTAACCTGACAGAGGGGAGATTAAGGTGAGTTCTTAGGCAGAAGTTCTTCCCTGTGAGGGTGCTGAGGCACTGGCACAGGGTGCCAGAGAAGCTGTGGCTGCCCCATCCTTGGCAGTGTTCAAGGCCAGGTTGGACGGGGCTTGGAGCAGCCTGCTCTAGTGGAAGGTGTCCCTGCCCATGGCAGGGGTTGGCATGAGCTTTAAGCTACCTTCCAACCCAAACCATCCTGATTCTGTATAGGGCAGGTTGCCTCAGGTTGCCCACTGGTGTTGTCCAGCCTGAGGGTCCCTGGCCCTGTGTCTCATAGAGGTCTAGAAGTGGGCAGCCCTTGTTACATGCACCAGATGTGAGCAAGAAGGCAGCGAACACCAGGGCAGGATGAGGCCAGGGTGGGCTGTTGCTGCAGGGGAGCAGGGCAGCTGCTGAAGCATCCAAGTGGGGGCCATATGGGAGGCAGGGCAGGGATGCGGGGCCATATGGGAGGCAGGGCAGGGACGTGGGGAACCTATGGGGCTGATGATAAGTGTGGCTTGGGAGCAGTGGTGTTGACACTGGCAGTGCTGGCTTCCTGCAAACCTGTGGTTTTGCTTTCTGTTTCTGTTCAGTTTTGCAAGCAGGATCTTTGCCTCATCCTTGATTCTGTAAGCTGCCTTCTTCTGCATACACAAGTCTGGGTGAGAGCAATGCGCCCCAGTTCTCACAGCACAACATGGGTTCTTGCAGGGTAACAAAGAAAACACTCAATCAAGCCACAGAATTGTAGTTAGGCCAAAAAATGAAGCTAGACAAAAGGTAAAACCAGAATATTTTTTATCATACCTATTTCTATTCACATTCTTATCGTAAAAGCCTCATTTACTGGAAGGAAAATTTAATAAGCTTTTTGTTGGAATGCCGCATCGTAAACTGCATCTGAACACACAGAGTCATGTTGTGAACAGTCAGAAATGTATTTATAGAAATCCTTTCTTCAGAATGGACAAGATCTTCTGTTCCATGCACTGCTGAGGACCTGGCGTGGCTGAGAGCAACCCCAGAGCTCAGCAGGGAAGGAGGGAGAGGAGCAAAGGCTGAGGAAGGCTGGGGAATGGCAGGAACACTGTGAGAGGAAGAGGATGGTGGACAGGGCACCACGCTTCCCCAAGGCACTGTGTGCTGGCTGTCCCTACCCCATCCATCAGTCTCTTCCCCCAGCAGCCCCACGTTCCCCAAGCAGCACTGTCCTTTGAGCCCTTCCTGTCTCTCCCAGCCCATTCCTGGGATGCTCAGGAGCACCCAAGCTGGGAGCTGCATGTTATGTATTGGGTAACTTGTGAGTTGGGAACATCGTGAGCTAGTGAAGTGATAAATTAGTGAGTTCACGTGTTGGACCTGCCCGTGCAAAGGGCATTGTTTGATGTGTGTGGTTTCATTACCAATGAACTGACAAAGTTTAATGTGCAGGTGTTGTCCTCTGAATCTGAGTTCCCAAAAGGAGCCTTATCGTGTTACACCCTCTGGCTGGTCAGGTGATAACCAGATAGCGGGAAATGCAAGCATACATGCATATATCCAGCATGGATCCCTCTAGGATTTGGCCTTAGCCGCCCAGTCTGCCCAGTAGCTATCCCTGGAGCCACTTGTCCTTCCTATGGTCCCTATAGAACCCCTCCTAGACTTTGGATCACTCCAAAACCCCACCATGGTCCCCTCTGTGGGAGCAGGCACCCAGCCCTCCCCTGTTACATGTACCCATGAACCCACACCCAGAGCAACAGCTGGAAAGGGAGTTCAACGGGAAGAGGAGGCAGACTGGGGTGCAGAGACGATGATGCCAGGTGAGGTGCTGGCTTTCCTATGTGCAGCCTTCACCCTGACCCCAACCATGGCCCACATCCTGCTGGGATGGGGCTCCACACCAGGGATGCTGCCTGGGGACACCCATTGTAGGGTGCCTGTAGATGCCCCACATGGATCCAGGGGCAAGAAGGCGCCTGCAGGGGCCTGAGGCCACGATGTGGAAGCAGGATGACCCAGCTTCTATCCTCCCCTTGTCCCCCAGTCCCGCAAAACACCTCCCTGCCCTCCCATTGCCACCACCTCACTCTGCCCATGGGCACAGGGTGGCTTCTTGCACCCCAGGGACACACAGGGCACAGCTCTTTTCCAGGCACAGAAAGGTTTATTCAGCTCCATGTATGGGGGCAGCAAGCTTTGGGAAGGGATGTTGGGAAGCACTGGGAGGAAGCAGCACAGAGTGAGGGTGTGTTTCCAGCCAGGATACTGGGAGCAAGGAGGAGCCCAGCCCAGGACCAGGAGAGTGGAGAGCCTCAGGAATGCAGGTGGGACAGCAGGATGCAAGCAGCTCCAATCTCCATCCCCATCACTTGATGCGGGTGAAGATAGAGGTGCCGACCCTGCAGGAAGACATGTCAGCAGAGCGGAGGCAGGGCTGTGGGCTAGGGTTAGGGTTAGGGTTAGGGTTGGGGTTAGGGTTAGGGCTAGGATTAGGGTTAGGGTTAGGGCTAGAGCTAGGGCTAGGATTAGGGTTAGGGCTACCGATAGGGTTAGGATTAGAGTTAGGTTTAGTGCTACGGTTAGGGTTTGGATTACGGTTAGGTCTATGTTTAAGTTTAGGCTTAAGTTTAGTGTTATGCTTAGGCTGAATTTTTGGGCATGTTTAGTTTTAGTTCTATCATTAGTTTGTGGGGTCGGCCTAGGATTAAATTTAATTTTAGGGTTATTGTTAATGCAGGGACTGGGCTCACCTTGTTGCTCTCCATGAGTCTCTGCGGGATGGGACCTCTTCCCTCACAAGCCATGTTGTCTCCAGAGTCTCCTTCCCACGGCGGTCCAGAAAGCACTGGCCCACAAATGCTGTGATGGAGTCTGTTGGGATTCAGTTGAGGCAGATTGATTTCCACATATGTTCCCCAGATAGAGAAACCTGATTTTGGCAGACAGACAGACATACACCCCCCACCACTTGCTCTGCACAAACAGAGGGACCTCCAGATCGCCTGGACAGATAGATGGGTATTGTCCATGTCGTGTCCTTTGGACAGACAGACATCCCTGCTGCCCTCCAGACAGATGGACACCCCTGCCACCCTCCCAGATGACTCTCCTCCCAGCCACCCCAAACAGACAGCTCTCCCCACACCAAGTCCCATGGCAGCAGTGTGAGCACTTGACTGACCCGTGGACACAGCCATGGTTTCTCTCGGTGCATGGGGGGTGTGTGGTGGCACCCCACTGCCAGCATGGGAAGGGGATGTCTGGCTGCCCCAGGATCCTCTGCTGGGTATCATCATACCTGCGAACTGCCACTGCACAGTGAAGCCGAAGGTGGGCTGCCCCTTGCTACTGGAGTGCTGCAGGACCCCTTGCAGCGGTGACACCAGGATCTGCTTGTTGGTGGCTGCTACAGCAGTGTGATAGGAGCCCGAGAAGGTTCCAGCTGCGTCCAGGGCCAAGAGGGTCATGTTGGAGCCCAGCTCGTTCCTCCACAAGCCCTGCAGGTTGCACTGGGGACCGGGGGTTGTGTGGCTGCCTTGGGCAGTGCCAAGCCACAGCCCACCCTCCATCGTGCCTGAGCAGTGGGATGTGTGCCCCACATGCATGGGGCTGGCACAGCCCCTCTGCATGGCAGATGGGACGGATGGGAACAGCACCTCCCCATCCCATGGCAGGGCAGAGGGGTGCTGGGTATCCCCATACGACGGGTAGGTGACCAGCCAGAGCTGGCAGCCTCCTTGGTCATGTGTCCTGCACCATGGCACGGCACAGCACACAGCAAGGGCAGGCAGCCCCTCGGATACAAACACTCTATGCTCTGTGGCACAGCTTGGTATGGCACCATGAAAGCATGCAACCCCCTAAAGGCATGCACACTGTGCCCCAGGGGTGCCATAGCGTGGCACTGCACAGCACAGCACACAGTGGCAAAGTACAGCGTGGCACAGCACCACACAGCACGGTGCATCACAGCATGGCACAGCACACGGTGGCAAAACACAGTCTGGCACAGCACTGCATGGCACAGGACACGGTGGCAAAGCACAGCACATGGTGGCAAAGCACAGCGTGGCACTACACATCACAGCACGGCATGCCATGGCACATCATGGCACAGCACGGCACAGCACCGGACAGCACAGTACAGCGCAGCAAGAGCAGGCAGCCCCTCGGCTGCTCGCGCTGCACCTCAGGGATGGCACAGCAGGGCACGGCACAGCAGGGCACTGCGCAGCACACGGCGCCAGAGTGCCACACCACAGCGCGGCACGGCACGGCATGGCACGGCACCAGGCAGCACAGCGCAGCGCAGCAATAGCAGGCAGCCCCCTGGCCGCTCACGCAGCAGCGGGGCACTGGCACGGCGCAGCAGTGCAGGGCGCAGCAGCGCAGGGCGCAGCACGGCACGGCGCAGTACAGCATGGCAGCGCGGAGAGCAGCCGTCCTGCAGGCACCCTGCGCGCTGAGCACACCCGGCGCGGCGCAGCGCGGCCCCCCGGCTGCCCTTACCTTCCTGGCAACGGCGGAGCGCAGAGCGAGCAGCGCCAGGGCGAGCAGGAGGCAGCAGCCGCTGGTCCCCATGGCAGCAGCGGTGCTGGGGCTGCGAGCGCTGCCCACGCTGCGGCCCGTGCCCGCCCCGGCTCTTTTATGCCGGAAGGGGGTAGCGGCCGCCCATGCCGGGCCCCCGGCCAAAGGCCACCGCGGTGGGACACGGGCCACCGGCCACCGCGGCGCAGCGAGCGGAGCCCCACGGAGCGGCTCGGTACCCCCCACGCTGGGCACGGGGGATGGTGACAGGGGAGGTCATCGACCCCCAGGGATGCTGTGGAAGGGGTGGTGGGATGTGGGGGCTGAGGCACAGCACAACGAGAGATGGTGGGTGTTTGCAGCAAAGCTTTATTGTGAGAAGCAGTGAGGATCAGGAGTGGGGGGACACACACTGCAGCCAGCTCGGGAACTCCCATCAGCCTCACTCCTTCTTTGGGCGCAGGCGGATGAAGACATTGGTGCCGACCCTGTAGGACACAGGAGGAGGAGATGTGAGGGTGGGAACTGCAGCCTTGCACAGGACAAGCCCACCCAGCCCTGTCTCCTCCAACAGCAGATGCACTGTGGTGGGACCCCTGGACACCATCCTTGGTCACCACCAGCAGCTCTGGGGGTACTGAGCACCAGGAGGTGCATCACTGCTGGGGATGCTCAGGGGACCTTTGCAGGGCATGGTCTCACATGGTGGCTTTCCAGTCGTCCTTGATGCTGTCCACATTTGACCGCAGGAGCCACATCGTCTTCAAGACCTCCTTTCCCTCCTCATCCACAAAGCACTGGCCCGTGAACACAGTGACAGAGTCTGCAGGGATGGGGCAGGAGGTGAAGAGGAGCATGGACGAGGTGGCGGGTCAGTGCCCTGCACCCTGTCCCAGCACAGGGGCAGGAGACCCAGGCTGTCCCTGCCCTCTTCAGACAGAGGTAATGGGGAGAGCAGGCAGGAGGGGTCTCGAGTAGAGATGGGCACACAGCAACCCCCCAGAGCATCCTCTGCACCCTGAGACTGGGAGGTGACACCAGCCAAAGGGCTCCAGAGTAAAGGATGCGGAAGCATCAGGGACAGCACAGGGGATGTGAGAACACGGGGGACACCGACACCACAGGGGAAAGGAAGGGATCATGAAGGACACTGCTGTGAGGGCAGAAGAGCATCATGGACATCACAGCAAGGGCAGGGGGCTCTGGGGACAGCACAGTGGAGCTCTGAGGACACAACAAGGGAGGTGGAGAAGGAGAAACACCTGAAAAGCTCCAGTTGACGGTGAAGCCAAAGGTGGCCTGGCTGTTCTTGTCCGTGCGGTGCTGGGACCCCTGCAGCGGTGACACCTTGATCTCATTGCCAGTGGCCGTCACAGCCGTGTGGTAGGAGCCGAGGAATTCACCTTTCTCATTCACGGCCATGATGGTCATGTTGGAGCCCAGGTCATTGATCCAACGCCCGGTCAAGGTGCACTGGGGTGGAAGGGACCCATCACCAGTGCTGCAGTGCAGCCCCTGCCCACCCTGCCCCTGCATCCCAGCCCTGCCATTACCTTTCTTGTGGAGAGGACCGGGGCCACCATGGCCAGGCTGAGCACCAGGAGGAAGGGGGTTGCGTGCACCATCTCTGCAGCAGCTGGCAGCAGTTGTACCTGGGGGTGTTCTCCTCACAGAGCTCTGCTCATGTGCCTGCTTCTCCCCTATTTATTGCTTCTGGGGCTGCGGTGGCAGCATCACCGGTGGCGTTGTGCAATCTGGGTGTTCCCAAATTTGTAGTTCCCGGACAGATGAAAGTGTGTTTGCTGGCAGATATTCCCAGAAACGCCAGCTGAAACAGTCCCTCCCTGCTCACACTACCCTGGCATCTCATGGGGAAACCTTGGCTCTTGCAGTTCAGTGATCACCAAGACAGGGGAAACCACCCTCATATCCTTTCTGAACCCCTTCTTCCACACCGTTGCTGTGCCTGGGGTGTGTAAAGGGTGCTAAGGAGCCTTACCCAGGGCATCCCAATATCACTGCAGCACACAGCCTCACCCTCCTCTTCCTCACCAGGCATCCTTGTGCAAACCCATCCGAAAGGCTCCTTTAAGAGCTTTGCTTTATCCACCCCCAATACTGATGCAGCCAGAGATCAGGCTTCAGAACACTTGTCCTCCTCTCACTCAAGGCTGGTATGTAGGTTTGCTGTTGTTTTTACAAACTGGCTTTTGTTGGAATTGCTCTGTTTATGGAAAACAAGCATTCCCCAAATACTTTGGACATCACATTTTAATGATGACAAAGGTTGTATCGATGCAGGGATTCTTAAATAACTTTAAGTATGTGTTTATATATTTTCCCCTTACATTATACTGCTGCTGGCTGGAGAGGCTGTAATGGCTTTATTCAAACCAGAACTCTTCACCCCATTCCTCAGTCATTTTCAAGGCAGCCTCCTAGAACATGTGTGTTTTAATTCCTCCAGGCATCACAGCAAACGACTGTGGAGGATTCATCAGAAAATGCTCTTTTACCTAAAACGGAGACAAGGCAACTCTTTGCAACATCTCAGATATACTTCCTCAGATTTGCTTTCCCTTAACCTCACAATTTGAGCCCCAGTTTTCTTCTGACAGCAATATTCACCACCACCCATGCTGGGGAGCATTGCATTTCTGCTGCTAGCACCTCAGTGCTCCCCTCTCCTCTCTGCAGGAAGCACACAGCCTTATGGCACCCCTGCCAGTGAGGGGTACCTGGCCAGAGAGCTGGCTGCCTGCGGGAAATTCCTGCCCCTCTGTTTGCTTCCCTCTGTCTTAGAAATGAACTGAATGATAAGGTATGTTTTTCCACTGTTTGCTTTGGCTGTGTTTTTGGCAACCAGGTGCTGCCTGGAGTGAGGCCGACTTTTGTGACAATGAGCTTGGTCAGTCTAGAAATGTTGCATGGGCAGGAAGGGCAGGCCTCTTCCCCTCACCATCACCCACTCTCCTTCACACCCTTGCCATCACCCCCTATCACCCCTTCTCCATCACCACCTCTCCATCACCCCCTCGCCATCAACCCCTCACCACCACCCCTCTCCTTCAACCCCTTGCATTCACCCCCTATCACCCCGTCTCCTTCACTGATCTCCATCACCCCCTCACTCTCACCCCCTCTCCAGCACCCCCTCTCCTTCACCCCTTGACATCACCCCCTATCACGCCCTTGCCATCACCCCCTCACCACAACCCCCTTGCCATCATCCCCTCACTGTCACCCCCTCTCCTTCACCCGTTTGCCATCATCCCGTCACCCCCTCGCCATCACCACCTTGCCACCACCCCCTCTCTTTCACCCCTGTGACATCACCCCATCACTCCCTCTCCTTCACCCCCTCGCCATCAACCCCTCTTTCACCTCCTTGCCATCACCCCCTAGCACCCCCTCTCCTTCACCCCCCTCCAGCACACCCTCTCCATACCCCCCTTTCCAGTAGCCCGTCTCCCTCAACCCCTCTCCATTACTCCCTCTCCATGACCCCCTTTCCATCACCCCATTGCTGTCATCGCCTTGCCATTGCCTTGGTACAAGGAGCTCCCTGTGGCTACAGTGGCCATGGGGATGAGCAACACAAGGTCTCTGCACTCACGCTGCTGCTGATAGCAACCCACATCTCATTTACAGGCAGAGGTTTCATTTTTAGCATCACACAAACAGTATTTCTTCTGCTTTCGCAAAACCTTTATTTTTTCCAGTATTTAACAAACCCTGTCCCAGAAGCGTATCTTGAAAGTGCAGGCATCAGCTCAGAGCTCAAGGACATAGATTTCTTGACCAGCCTTGGAGGAGTCAAAACCAAAACAAGCAGATACCTCGGGTATCTCTGTGAGATTTGCACCCTCCAAAGGGCAGCCAGCGAAGCGGCTGGAGCCTGGAAATCATTACTATGGCTAAATCCTGAGATGCCATTCCTGAGCCTTGGCACAGCAGGGGAGTGGGCAAGGGGGAACAGGCAGGCAGGGAACAAGTCCAAAGCAGAAAGTGCTGAAGAAGTTAAAAGTTGGCAGGGCTTTGGTTTAAATCTGTGTGTGTCAGGGGTTTATGAATAATAAAGGTTAATGAATAATAAGAATAAAGGGTTAATGAACAATTAAACTTCCTGCACAAACCAGGATTGAGTCAGCTTTGAAAAATAGTGTTACGGGCAAGTATTAGTCAAAATCATATCTGTAACCAAGGATCTTGGTCCCAACCCATAGCTTTACCCATGCAGTTGCTGTTGAAAGCTGAGCCTACTGGTTTATTATTGCGTATTACTGATGCAATACAGTCAAAAAGCAGAAGTACCCCTTGAACACAGCCTGAATGCCCCAGCCTAAGAGAGGAAGTCTGCAGGCAGCCTGTCCCTTGGGGTTAAGGAGCATTGCTGGTGGGTCGCAGCGATCAAACCCAGCCTGGTCAGAGGCTGTGCTGCCTTTGGTACCTGGTTTTGTACGTTGCCAGCTGGACTGGGACATCACCATGTGCCAACACAACACAGAAGGAAGTGGGCAGCTCAAGTGAGCTGCACCATATCCTGGCCCCCCTCTGCCCCCCCCCCCCCCCCCCAGCCTCAGCCCAGTGACCCTAAGGGAGCGCTGCCATGGGAGGAGGACTGGTTGCCTGGTCCAGGGGGGCCATATCCAGGAGAACCTGCCCTTTCCCGGATAATGTTACTCCTGTGCCCAGGCGGATGTGGAAACGCTTCCCTGCAGAGTGACATTTATCACCTGATGGCAGCAGGGCCACCACAGCAATGCCCTGCCTGCACCAGCATCCAGGCAGAGCAAGAACAGGCACAGGGGGGAAGGACAGGCTGCCTCTCACCCCAACCCTCATGGCACTTACAGTTCAGAGGGTGTTAGAGCAAAAGGCTCTCCAGTGGGCAGAAAGAGCTTGTAGCTAAACCTGGGTGCAGGGCTTCCTCCCCGCACCCACAAAACCAGGGAGGTGCAGCCTTTGAAGGCTGACCTGGCACAGAAATTAGGAAAACAAAGCAAGGTGCCCAGCCCTGGGCAGGTGAGGAACATGACTCTGTCAAGGGCAGGCACACAGAGCCAGTTCCAGGCAGCACGCTAAGCTCCTTGCCTTCCTCTGACAAGGAGGGAACAGAGAAGAAGCAAGGGGCAGGTCCT